CCCAATAGCATATCTTGAAACTTTTAGCCACTTAACAATTCTAAGCTTCAGTTTCTTTATCAGAGACCCAGAATTAGTAAAGTTTGACTACATTTATTTCAGAAGCATTTTGGCTGTAGAGCAGTGTAATTTGTCAAAACATTTAGCTACATATTAGCATTTTGTAATTTTGTGAGAACTGCTATATTATTATTATTATTTATATTACCATAGTGCCTAGGAACCCCAATCACGGACTAGAACCTCATTGTGCTAGGTGCTGTACAAACAGAATAAAACATCCCTGCCCCAAAGAGACAACAGATGGTTACACAGACAGACCAACAAGGGGGTCACATGAAACAATCAGACAAGATTGTTCAGCATGATCGACAGTGGTCTCAGCCACCTAACTTGGCAAGTTTTTTGAAGGCACCATGACAGAGGAGAGTTTGAAGGAGAGATCTGAAGGAGGATAATGAGTTAATTTTGCAGATGCTCACTGGGAGCTTCTCCCAAGCGTGAGAGGCAGCATGTGAGAAAGCACGGCCTGGTGCTGTGATCTGGAGCTAAATCGTTTTGGTTGGAACAATAGTAGCAGGTGCTTCAGAAAGTGGTGTAATTATGTAAATGGCTTAGATTCAAGTAGATTCTAATACCATGATCCTGCTCCCATTAAAGTAAATAGGAGTTTTGCAGTTCAGAGACTTCAGTGATAGCAGGACCAGGCCTTGTCATTACTGTGCCAATACCCTAGTGGGGAGGTAGAGAAATGCTATATTGCTACAGTAGCTACCATCTTTTGCATGAGGTATAAAAGGATTTGACCACTCGTAGTCAATATTATGCCTTCAGTTACATTTATATTTTGACTTCATTTGGGTTTCATGAGCATAACTAAGAGCAAAATTTGATTTGCAATCATTGATCCAATAGCCATTTTCACCATTGCTGGGATGTTATCAGCAGTGTCCATGTCAAATTCAAAATACAGTACTTTTGTAACACCATTTTGCAAGACTCAAGAGGAGAACAGTTTCCAATTTCTAGTCACCATGCCTGCTGAGATCTCTCTAGCATGCTTGGCAGTATTCAAGTATTTCTGCAAGGGAGCAACATTCAGTCCTCCTCAACCATCAGTTTTGGGGTAACATTGAGGGAATCCTGTTGGAACATATGATTTTTGGAAGTTGTAGGAACTAGACTTCATATAAATATTGTTACCCCTTTTTTATTTGAGTGGCTAGTCAAAGTTCAGGGCACTGGGAATGTTCCAGTTGGGAGTAGAAATTGATGATGGAGTCTGGTATTTTTTGTTTATTTACAAACAATGTACAAAGTTCTGCTTCTGTGAACACAGGAGGAAGAACAAAAAATGGTTCTTAGCTAACACCCTGAGCTTCTTTCAGCCAGCATCCGGACCCAGAACCTTTCTCTGAGCTCTTTCAGGATCACCCTGCTTACAGGCTGCTGCTTCGCTTTCTTTCTCTGCTCACCATCTCTCTGTTTCTTGTCTTCCCCCACTCTTGTCTCTCTCTCTCACCCACCCACACACCTGGTCAGATCCATACCCATTCAAACCCACAGCCCACATGTTGCTGGTTCCTGGGCAGACTCTATCAGGCCTTGGTTTAGGTGTGGCTCTTAACTGTCTCATAGACTTTAGATGCTCATGATGGTCCCTTCTGGCCTTAGTCTGACATCATGCACATCGCAGGCAACAGAACCTCACCCACTAGACCCATAACCTCTGGCTGAGTTACTGAAGTTTTCAAATCATGATTTAAAGACTTCAAATTACCAAGAATACACCATTTACACTTGTTTAAACCTGTAAGTGACCCATGACCCTTGTTAAAGAGGAAAATGAAAAAACCCTAGTGTCTCTTTCAATCTGACCCAGGAGAAAATTCCTTTCTGACCCCAATAATGGCAATCAGCAGCCTTATGTGAAGGGCACATTCAGACATCAATGAGATTTTAATTCAACCCATAACAAGATTTAACCCAGTTCATAACAATATGCTCCATAGCTAAGAGTGATTCATTTAATTCTTTGATACCTTTAATCATGAATTTAACACTCAGACATGCCAGACTATCTCACAGTATTGTCCAAACCCATCTCTTTGCACATCCAAATGTGGAGACATTTTCTGAGAGGACTGTTATATGCCATTTTACTTATTTGTGAGCCTCTGCTACTTGGGACTAGAATCTCCTGTTTGCCAGGATTGATGGACCCTCCATTTGAACTTTTGGAAGAGTGCGCTGTGTGTCCTCAAGACTATTACTAGCTGCAATAAGCTCAGCCAGGCTAGTAAGGGAGATTTATACTAATTGATCATACACATTTTCTAAATATAAGGGGGGTACTATGCCCAGATCCTAAATTCCTAACTAAGGGCTAGATTCTGACAGGTATGCAAGAGGGTGAGGGCACATGGAGCATCTCCCTATCTTTTGTATCCTTGGCTAGGGTCTGGTTTGAATGCTGTTAGAAAGACCAATGCCTGCTCCTGGTTATTGCCACTGTGGGTGTTGTTGGATTGATTTTGTGGACTTGTCAGTGCTTTAATGTCTTAGAACACACTTAATTGGGACCCAGGTAGCCTCTACAGTAAGTCTTAGTAAGCTACGCAAAGCTACGCAAGCCTGATACCTGCACTTATATTCATGCCTTTACTCAGTATTGCTCTTTCTATTGATCTGGCAGCTAGGTCTGATGTCCAGTTCAGTAGAGCAAACTGCAGTCTTTATTTAACTGGTTCTCCTCAAAGCCATGTCCTACTGACAGTATTATAAGGGAACAAAAGGTTATTTATTCATAGATTTTTCAGAAGATTGTCAGCTAGAGTCCCACGTTTCTCTGCCCATTTTCTCCAAGGTCTTTAGTAGTACAGTATATAGCATTTGATTAAACTGAAAAGCACCTTGGTGGGGGGGGGGGGAATAGTACGCCCTCTACAACATCAGGTGACCCCAAAGACCAATGCTTTCAAGAGGTTTCAATGCCAGAAATGCATCTGCTCCCAAGAATGAGTATTTTGCTTCCAGGTATTTTGCTTCACAAAGAACAATAGTAAGTAAATAATTTTTTCTTTGTTATGTTAATCAGAAGTGCTGTTTTGGTTTTTGGACTTGCTTTTCCCATCACAATTCTCATATGAATCTCCCCTAAGCAATCATAAGACTTCCTTATTCTCTGTATGCTATCATATATGATTCACCTTTCTTTGCTGACTTGATTATTGCTGATTTTATAAAGCCAGGTTTGGGAACGAAAGAAATATTACGTTAAACAGCTTTTAGATTTAATTTTCCATTGAGTTGTCACTGTGGAGACAGAAAAAATACCAAGTGTATTGAAATCTTTTTGATAATTCAGAGCACTTCTCTCAGCTGACATTCACTGTAACCATGGGCAACATGCCCCTGAGCCACTGGTTTGTTTCAGGGTGGGGGAAGTTTTTCGAAAAAGACACCTACTTTTTAGGATTGATTATCCCATAAGGCATCAGTGGGCCTCACAATATTCCAGTCAGCTTCCCAGAAGCATGAGAAAATTTACATTTCAGCCCAGAATTTACCATACCTGGTCCTGTGCTTTGAGACTGTGGTTCCTCCCTCTTCCCTCCCCCTCCCCCTCCCACTTTATTTTTCTTATGAAACATAAAAATAACCCCAAAACACCTGACACATTTTTATTGCTGTGTTACTCAGACTTGGATTTTCTGTATTTAAGAGTCTGTAGCTGCAGGGCTTCCATTAATGCAGTAATAACATTGTCATTGAGGAACAAAAGAAGAGACATTAACTTCTGCTTCTTGATTGCAGCACTATAATACTTTCAGTCTTTTTCAACAAAATGTTTTTACTTCTGGCAATGCCTGTGTTCCCTATAAAGGCTGAAATAAGCAAATACATTTCTTACTTGATTTCCCCCCTCTCCCAGTTTATCAGCATTGAGAATGTCTGTAAGTGAAACCATGAGATAGATTGGAAATATGAATACCAGTTGTATTATGTTTAAGTTAGAGCTGAGCAGGGCTGTCTACAAATGAATGATATTTTCCACTGGACGTGTGAGCCTTCCTCCCTGCAAAGTCATACACTTCTGTTTTAGCAGCAATAAGGCAAGCTATGACATCCATCCACCGCCCCAACCCTTGCACACAGTCGCAAGCCTCCAACAGAAGCCCTCTTTCTAAATACTTGTCCTTACCGTTTGTGCAACTGTTTTGCTCACGTTAACCCTGGTTATGCCAAATTGTGTTTTTTCCTATATAGACATTATGCACCAAAATGAAATCATTCTCTTGTTTTGCAACAGTGGCAGAAAGAGCTGCAGATCAGACTTAAGGAAGAGGAGGAGCTCCTGGAGAAAGAACTTCAGGAAAAACAAAGGAAGGAGGAAGAGCACTTCAGAGAAATTATGAAAAGGCGAGAAGAAAAGCTGCACAAGAAAACCAAACCTTATGAGCTTCCTGTTAAACACAAAGCTGAAGATTTGATACAGTGAATTAAAAGAGCCAACTGTCAGTATTTCAGCAACCAGCACAAATATGGGACTGAGTTTCTAATTTAAATTTAAATACTTAAAATTAAAAGAAAAACTAGAAAAAATAACTCTGCTCCCCAGTGACCAATTGGTGTGTACTTGTAGAATGACCTAGCGTGCCAGGTCTGCAGCTCTGTGACACCTGAGGAATCCATTCCCCTGAGGATTTCAGCAGTCTAGGAAAAATTCCTGGGTGTTACTGAGCTGTCGAAGCAGCTCTATGCCAATCACTCTCAGAGTCCTTAGCAATGGGGGTGTTCTTGGAGTAAGAGGAAGTGGCTGGAGCACCACAGCATCCAGTATTCCCCAACTGCTGGAGTAGCCCTTTTAGGTCATGGGAAGCCAGGTTTAATGTAGAGTAGTCCTCAGGTTGCCTTTTGTTATAAGGAGGACTTGGATGGGCCTAGTGTCAGGGAGCCTCTGCCCCTCACATGCCCTGAGCCGATCGTAGCTGCTGCTAAGGCTCTAGCCCATTAATCTTAGAAACATGCAAAAAGGCTCCAATTCAGTAAATGGGTTTAGGGAAAACCTTTTTATAGCTTTGACTTCTTGAGGTTCATTTGGAGTTTCTACTTTCAACAATGAACTGAAGCTTCCAAATTTTACCTGATTTCAGGTCAAAATCATGTGAAATCAGAGAGCTTTCTAATGTTCTCCCTTCAGAACCATACACTGACCAAATAGCAACTCATATTTGCCACAGGATTAGCAAATCTTTGTGACCTTGTCCATAGTTTGGGTTTGAAACAAAACCAGGCACATTTTTCTGTATTCAGGTTTCCTTAAGAAAGGTTCATAAAGCTCCAGTTATTTCCTAAATGCAAGAACTTTCATGCATCATCACTTTTTGCTACACTCTTTTGAGATAAGATATATCAGAAAACTAGTCATTAAACCTGCAGCAACTAAGAGTCCCAATTGAGTGCAATTTTTCCAGTTATCTTTTTTCCAATAGTATAATTAGCATTTCTTCCTATTAATTCTTGACTTATGATCACACAGCATATTTTATCATTTGTAAATAGAAGTAGTTGGTATTCGTTACTAAACAATTAAATATGAATTAGTCGTAAATAATTGATAAGTGGCATTTCTGAATCATCTCTGAAAAAGAATGAGCATCAACTGAGTTTTGCCTGTGTGAGCAAATCTTAGAATAAAACTGGCTATAAACTTGTCAGAATACGGGAGCAATGAATTGAAACAAATTCTTCTTGAAAGTTTCTTTTTAAAAAAAAAACCCCAAGAAATCAGCAAGAGTGGGCTAGAATCATATTACTCTTGAAATTCAGCAGATCTCCGACTGCTGGCAGTGGGTCTCTTGGGCATGTGGTTATGTGATTTGAATGCACAGTTGTACTACTTGCATTTGCTAATTTGGCATGTGATTGCACACTTAAGTTATTTGAAAATCTGACCCTCAAAGTGTCATCATTAGGCATCGTAGCTAAAATAGCTGTGATGAAAGGGAGAGTTCATGCTTCTTTGAGCAGACATTTCAGGTGACCAAAGACAATGTTACATTGATTCATGTTTGGAGGGGTTACTTTTGAAGACCTGTGAAATGCACAGCTCAAGACCAGTAGGGAAACCCTACGGATCTCAGTATCCCCAAGAATACCCAGTCTCTCTGAATTGTTCCCCAAGCTTTCCCTCTCATTCCTCTTTTTCCCGACAATGGGTTTGAAAGGAGTCATTCGATCCTGCATGCCTGCCTAACAGCTGTCCTGAGCCCCCTCCCCAAACAAAGGAAAATTCCTTTGTGCCTAAAATGAACCCACAGGAGTTTATGCCGATTGGTTCATGACTGTATCCATTGAGAAAAATCTCTGCAGGATTAGGGATGAAATACCATGGAGGATGGTCATCACATTGATCTTGCCCCTCTCACGACCAGCATCCCCCTTCCACAGCTACAGCAGCCTGCCCTACGGCCTAAAATCTGCAGGATTGGTGGAATGTGTCACATAGCTCATGCTTCCCCCACGTTCCCCAGCCAGAATCTATCAGCTTTTGGCTCTCCTCCAGACACAGGGAAGGGGTGGGGAGGTGTACATGGCCTAAACTACAGAGCATGTATGGCTATTTTACACTGTGCTGTAACCACACTCACTTCAGTGGGTTTACTCCTGATTTACATTGGTATTAGAGGAGAATTCAGATAATAAATGGTCCAGAGGCAACATGGGGGGGGGGGTCATGCGGGGTCATGTGCCCCCTTTCCTCCCCCAGCCATGATTTGCTGCTTGGCTTGTACTGAGCATTCTCAGTCACACTGCTGCAACTGGCTGCTCTCGTTCTGCTTTCCCCCTCCCCCCAAGCACAGGTTGTCTCTCAGATTTGTCTTCAAATTGAGCTGGTTTCCTTGTTTCAATGTTTATTGAAACTAAATCAGAACACAACAAACATATTTAAAAAATTAGCCATTCATGAGCATGTCTCCATCTAGTAAAAACAGTAGCAGCTACACTTACAAAACTTTGACTATTTTATATCTGAATGCTGCTATAACAGTGAAAAATTTTATCACATCTGCTCTTTGGGAGAAAAGTGAAGAGCAGGGGAAACTTTTCTTTTCCTGCCAGTGAGCATACAAACCCTGAGTGCTGGTGAAGATTTTTTTGATGGATTCAGCCCATGTTCAGCCTATAAGTCATAGGTTGGCCATCTGAGATTTAAAGCATTTGGAATACTCATTATACTAATTCTAACAGTCTTCCCTGACATACCATGTGCATTTGGAACCTTATTTATAAACAAAGCTAATTTTGAAATGTCAAATTCTCTAACATAAATTCAAATATTTACATAGTTTAACAAATTCCATTGATGATTGTTACTTTTGAGCAATAGGCATTTTTCATAGTAACATACCAAGCTGAAGGATAATTTAGCTTTAATGTTATTCACATGCACTTACTTAGCCCTAGCTGAGGACTAATTTCCATAATACCTGCTGCTGTACCATTTCCTTATTCCCTCTTCATATTTCGGAGAAAAACAAAAAACTCAATCTGTTTAAAAAAAAAAGTAAAAATGTTCTCAGAGGAAGGAGATGTGCTTCCTGACTACCACAAGGACTCGCTTGTGGCTGCAAAGCTACAGCCCTATGATAAGGGGCTGCAGAGACACTCAGTCCTCATGGGAGCTCCAGGGGACATAGCACCTGATTCTCATTTACACTCAGGCCATTTTACACCACCCTGATAATGAAAAGAAGCCTTAGAGGGTAAGGGCTTGTCTTCATGTGCAGCACAGCTGCACCAGCGTAGCTGCACTGCTCTAGCGCTTTAGTGAAGACACTACTACGCCAATGGGAGAGCTTCTCCAGTCGGCGTAGTTAATCCACCTCCCCGAGAGACGGTAGCAGTGTTGACAGGAGAAGCCCTCCCATTGACATAGCGCTGTCAACGCAGGGGGTTAGGTCAGTATAACTACGTGGCTCCGGGATGTGGATTTTTCACACCCCGGAGTGATGTATTTATATCAATATAGGTCTCTAGTGTCGACCTAGCCTAAGTGTTGCTTACACCCATGTTGAGAGCACTTTACACTGCCAGAGTGATATAGTGGCCCTGCTGTAAATGAGAAAAAGGCCCGCTGTGACCGAGTGAGGCGCACAGCCTCTGGGAACACACCAACAGATGACAGACCAGAGCTGCCTCTGATGCACCACTTTCAAGGGTGAAGTGTGCTCTCTCTCAGCCCCATTATTCTGGCCAGTGTGGAGGAGGAATGGGGTCTGTGCCTTCTTGTCCTTCCCTGCCTGTCTGGGAGGTTAGTACCTCTAAATTATTAGTAGTTATATTACAGTAGTGCCTAGAGGCCAGAACCCTATTGAAAAAAGAATGGAGAAGTTCAAGTCTTGTTGCTCTTTGTTCTTTAAAGGGAAATTATGTCATTTGTAGACAATGTAAAGAAAAATCAATTGACATGTAAATGTGCCTAGTTCACTCATCTCATCCCAGGGTATTGGCTGAGTAGAGCATATTATTCTGCTCTCTAGTATTTTATTGTATAGAATTTCTATTGAAGTCCCTATTGCTATTGAGCAACTGGTAGCATATAAACCTCAGCACCGACAGTTCCTTCTTTTGAGCATTGAATTTGAAACTGTGTTTTCCATTGCCTCTACTAGAGGAGACAACTGCTGCAACCTCTGCATATGCCATTACCAAGGCACGAGGCTGCTAGATGAACTAAGGGCCCTATTAGACACGGTATATTCAGTCCAGGTCTCTAAAATCCAGAAAGCATTACACGATTTTTATACAGACTTTACTCAGAAAAAACTCCCATTGGAGTCAATTAGTCTTGACTGAATAAAGGACTTCAGGATTAGGCCAGTTAATTAAAATGGAAGTTTTGTTTCAGTAAGGCGTAATGAATACAGGTCCTATAAAATAAGGGGGCAAATTGTATATACAGCAATACAGTTTAACATATTTCATTCAAGTTCAGGATTGCTTTTATTTTATTTTCTGCCTTGCTACCAACCCATTCTGACATGCATTTCCTAGGCTTTCACTAAGATCAAGCTAAGTAGTTGAGAATAGTGGGTGGATCATCAGCTGCTTAAAAGATGATGGGCGGGCTATATTGGCATGGCTGCAAGGGCGCTACAGGCAATGCCTTCTAACCTTACTCAGTCCCTAAAAGCACCTACAGCAATGTCTGATGCAGAGATCCCGAGGCATAAAGCGCTATATTTTCAAGAGTGCTGAGCACTCAACACTGTCCCCTCCCAACCTGGAGCCAGGGGGCAGCACATCTGCACACTCTGGCTTTCAGTACCAGCCATAGGTTGTAGCAGGCTGCTGTGTCTTCTGTTGAAATCAATGGGAGCCTTTGGGTTCTGAGCACTTCTGAAAATCAGGCCACTTTTTCAGCGCATAAGTAGGGACTTAGCAGCCTAAATTTATGAATCCAGTTTTAGAAAACTGGGCCATATTACAGTTCCAGACTGCCTTCAAACCATTAGAGAGAGTGAGGCAAGAAGTAATGTGTTCTTTACATTTAACAAATGGAGTTACAGCAGGGATGAATTTTGTCCCTTTTGTCTATTGTTGCTGCTATGAGCTTCAGCAGAACAAGATCTCTGTATTCATTGACATTTTTTCCTCCTCTAGCTTCAATTCATTCCCATAGGACAGATATTAGAGGAAAAATGAAAGTTCATACCACTGTCACAGGCAGAAGCCACAAATGCAGCACTGGGATGAGCTGAGGTATGGGGAAAAGGTATGTTTGCGCTAGGAGTTTGTTTCAATCATTTGCAAATTGTTCACTATGTAAAACGTAGTCTGGTTTGCCTTCTCTACCGATTTGTATAGCACAGGGAGAGGTGGGCATTTGCTGCCGCAGGACAGTGTGTTTATACTTCCACAATTATGGAGCTGGTCTGTTCTTAAGGGCGGGTCTACACTTAAAATGATGCATCGGTGCAGCTGCATGCTACTATGACACTTCTCTGAAGAGGCTGCTTTGCCAATAGGAGAGTTTCTCCTGTAGGTATAGAGTATCAGGGGGTAGCTGTGTTAGTCTGTATCTACAAAAACAACAAGGAGTCTGGTGGCACCTTAAAGACTAACAGATATATTTGGGCATAAGCTTTCGTGAGTTAAAACCTCACTTCTTCGGATGCATAGAGTGTTCCTGTAGGTATAGTTAATCACCTCTGCCAGAGGCAGTAGCTATACTGATGGGAGAAGCCCTCCTGTTGAAAATAGCGCTGGCTATACCGGGGGTTAGGTCAGGGCATAATGGGGACTAGATGGGGCATGAAAGAGCACGCTAGTGACAGGATGGGGTTAAGGCAGAGCACACAGCTCTTTCAATTATACCAGGGGATGTTTTGGCCCCTGACCAGACCAGGATCAGCAGTCCCATGCTGCTCTCTTCAGCTGTGCCAAGTGTGTAACCTTGGCACAGCTGAGAATCTGAGCCAATATCTGTATATTTACTGATTTTTATACATATTTGATATTTACACACACAAATATAATGTATGCAAATACAGATATTTTACCATGAAAAATGTCAATTTAGTCAAAACCCCAATTTTCCATTGAAAAACAGTTTCACTGGAACATTTTCAGCCAGCCCTAACTATTAGGTGTTTTTCATTCCAACCTTCTATTGCTGGCACCTAATTTGTGCCCCAAAATGCAGGCAGGCACTTGCTTTGCATGCAAACCCTGCATTCTCACATACAGAATGAGAGTAGGCACACAATTACCCATTTAGCATGCACAAATGCAGATTTGCATATGCAAAAATTAACTTTCTTTTTTCCTTTTGGTAGTTGAAAATTTGACCTAGCAATGTCCAAAGCTATGCTTGAGTGTATGTTGGGTGCATAATGGCTGTCTACAGAGTGGCTCTGCCACCAGTAACTCTCTTTTTAAGCACTTTGAGATGTCTTGAGTATGAAAGGCTTAATATAAAGCCAAATTCTATTCAGTTTAATTTTTAATACAGCTGTATAATTCCCTATGAGTTCCTATTTTTCTCCCCTCCAGCACAAATACTTTCTCTTTAATAAAGTTTGCAGCAATATTACAAAGTCACAGATTCTAAATACTATTTTATGATACAGTTTTAAAATTTCTTGGGTAACTGTCCCTGTATCCCAATTGCAAAGTTATCTTCATAGATGCTGACAGTTCATTGATAGTTGAACTTGAACAGATCAAAACACAAATATGGGGCATTTCCAGTGAGCCTGCAAAATCCCCATTGAAGATTTTCTATATCTGGAGGCACAGTTATGGATTATTAGGTTTTTAGTTAGCAGAGTTAAAGAGGGAAGTTTATACTGGGGAAAACTTAAATTTTGCTTAAAACCTAGATCTATTTCCTTTTCACATTTTTTAATAATTTCACTGGCTACAGTATGTTTACTAATTATCAAAATAATTTGTTGTTTAAACAAGAGTTTTCTCCAGAGTTGGAATCATGCCACCTCTGCATGCTGGTAGCTAAGGAGCCCAGTACCTCCATGATAGGAGGACAAACTAAATGAAAGTTGACATCCTTCCTGGTAGGAGTGCTGTTAATCCAGCATCTTGCATATACATTCACTTAAATATGTTCAGTGATTTAAGAACTTCAAATGAGAAGTGCCAAATATTATGTATTCGTAGTAGCTTTCTTTCTTTGCTTTACAGCATGCTGACAACCAAATTCTACACAGGTCTGAATCTGCATAGCTCCATTGAAGTCAATGATTGGCTAAGGGTGAGCACACCACTTCTAAAATACTCAGAACTCCCTGAAACTTTGCAAACTCAAACTGAATCTTTGGTAAGGGTCAGACCAACCTGTGGGTGAAATCCTGGCTCCATTGTAGTCAATAGAAAAACTCCCATGACTTCAGTGAGGCCAGGATTTCACTCTACATTTCTTTTTTTCAAATTGTTGGTTTCTGGCCAGGACTGGTAGAGGCAATGCCAAAATAACAGAGAGAGGTTGCTGTCACTGTATTTCTCTCTAGAAAGCAGAAATTGAATGAGGTTTCACAGCCAATTTTGCAAATGCAAGATAGTTCAGGTAAGCAGCCTAACTTCTGAATGTTTATTGAAACCTAGCTTGAACACTAAATATTTTGAGGTTCTTTCTATGCTTACCTTTGTCCCAGATCCTCAAAGGTATGTAAAGACCTAATTTCCATTGATTTCAATGGGATTTAGGCACCCAAATAATGTTTGAAAATCTGGACCTAAGTGTCTCTCAACATTGATTAAAAGAATCTATGCATTGTTTTATGGTACAGGTGGATATATCGGCCTATGATTTTATTTGTAATGTATGAATTAATAATCTGTATTACCTAGAGTGGAAGACTAACAAAAATCAATTTCTGTACGAGTCTGGAAAAGATTTGGTCACACATTTTAAGCATTACGGGTATATTTGAATGTTGTTCATTGCTCTTAAGAATCCCTGCTCAAGAATTAGGTGTCCTCCACCCAAGAATCAGATGAGATTAAACAGATTTTCAAAACATGGCATCTGTATGCATTCAGTCATTAGCGCGCTATCACTGTGTCTCTGTAAAGAAAAGAATTTATATATGCAAATGTCGCTGAGGTTTCCATATATCAAGTACACGTGAGTCTATCATCAGCATGCATAAGTAATAGTGTGTAAAATGTTGTACCCATAAAGTTGTATGGGAAACTGGATTGAGGCCCCTTAAAAAATGTGGAGCCAAATTATTTTTTAATGCAAACTGATACAGCACATAGAAGTCAATGGAGCTGCCTAATTTATCCCAGAAGAGAAACTGGCCCTTGATTGC